CACTGTTAACAACATGTGCACTGAAATAGACTTTTTAAATGAAGTGAAATCTGACTGTGTAACAAACAAAACATACATAGCCTACCTTTGTATATACACAACCACAGCTGTATTTCAAAAAGAGTCAGTGTTCTCTGGTTTCTAGTTTTGTGAAATTTGCTGAAGTCACACAGTTTTCCTCGCAGGAAAGTGACAGGTTCAGATCTGTCTTCTTTTATTGTAGCTATTGTGGAAAAAAAGTCAGGCGTGACACAGACTGTGACAACATCTCTGATGACCACAGGTAGGACAGTTTATTCATTTGAAGAAAAAAAAAATACCTTGATAGCACCGTTAATGTGGTCTGTAGGATCTGTAGTGGTCGCAATTGTTGCTATCCTCACCAGTTACCCACCGGCGTACAGCTTGACATCAGCGTGGCGCTGATTGGCTAATCGCTAGACTCACCCCCACCCCCGGCGTTCATTGGTCCGTCCATGTTTGGAGGAGATAAATCGCAAATTCATTGCAGCATGCCAGACCAGAGATGCAAGCCTACTCAGTTGAGTGGGCGGGGTCTATGGTCTGGAACCAGGCTACATATTTGTTGTACTGCTACAGCATGTGCACTGACATAGATTATTTTCTTAAATAAAGTGAATTCTGACTGTAAAATTAGAGAGACGCCGTAGAACGACTTACATCAGAATCAGAATGATGTTCACTGGCTAACCATGGTCACACATTCAATGACCATAATTAGTGCTCAGGATATGAAAATGAATGAATTAATGAATAAATCTTTATTATTGTGTCATGCAATCAGCTATGCCCAGCTCGCATGGGCTTATAAGACACCATAAATTCAGAGCTAGCCCTGATCAGGGTCCAGCAAACATAAATTTCTATAACTTACTAATATGAGTTAGTTATTAGTAATAATATTATCACTAATAACTAATAACTAGCCAAATGTGTTATTTTAAAAGTTTTAAAAGTTTGTTTTTTTTTTATTCACCATTCTTCACATTTACTCTTCTGTAACTCCTGTAAAATTAGAATTTCCAATTTCATGTGACTTCATCTAATTGCAAATCATGTGTTTTTCTGAGTATCATGATTATTTTGAAATGTAATGTTGTTTATTCAGCAGGTCAGACTGTTGGTACACCAAGTGACATTGGTAGTTCTTTCTCTCCTTCAATAACATCAGTGCCACCACAGACAGGTCATACAATTACTCATGTTCTCAATAATTTACAAAGACTTTTGTCAAAAAAATGTTGAGATATTTGTCATTTTAATGTTCATGTTTTGTGTGTCCTATTACAGGTCTAACCCTCCCTGCTGCAGGTACTCTGACCCCTGCTGACACAACTCTCATGAAACCAGCTTCTGGTGATGAAACAGGTAAACCAGAAACAGGAAGGGTGTTTATATGCACCCACAGACTGATGAGCTGTTTGAGGTATACTGCAGGGAGAGAGGTACTGTAGGGACCTCTGGTGGATCAACATGAGAACACAGGATCAACACCAGCAAGCACTGAAAAGTCATCTGTGACAGTCCTGAATGTATATTAACAACAACAAAAATTAGTAGGCCTGCTTAATCTTTTGGTATTAATACTGATTTGATGTTTAAAGAAATAATTAAGTGACCTTCTTGTGACACAAGAGCACCACTGTAGCACCACCCTCAGAATAAGCTTCATGATTGACAGTGGTAAATCCCAGAGTTTGAAAATTACTGTTTCTCAGGTTCACCAGCAGGACTCAAGGTGTTTAGCCTTGCTGTAACTATATGTGCTGTTCACCAGCGTGGTGGTTGCATGGACCTTTATGTTAACACTGTAGGCAGGCATGTGTTAATGTCCTTTTTTTTTTTTACTGCAGTGTCACTGATATTGGTGATTGGAGCAGTTGTGACTGTGGGGGTTCTCTTGCCTGGATTGGCTCTTCTCTTTACTCAAAGCAGGACTGGTAAGAATTGAGTTCACCAGAGTTACTGAGTTTTCAGTCTAAATTCTGAAGCTATAATAGCTGCAAATATTTAATGTGGTTTCATATTTCTTTTCTTGTCCTTTCTTTTCCAGAAAAAAGTGTTTCCAAGAGGTGAGAAATCTTGGTTTCTAAACTATTAATAAGTAAACTAGAGTGAGAACCAGTACGCATCTTCTGTTCCATCAATGCACCAGTTTACAGTAATAGTTTCAGACATTTATTTTGCCAGCTGCTGAGGACAACCACAATCCTCTTTTGACTGTGTCTGAGCTGCTCCACTGGTACAGTTGCGGATCAAGTGCCTTGCTCAGGGGCATATAGACATTTGACAACAAGGTTCTTTGAGGGACCATTAAAAAAATCAAAGCAGCAGTGATAATTCTGCTCAGAGAACTAAAACCCTTAAGCACATTGAAAACATAAATGATATAGCATACATATTTGGATATCACACTAGATCCTTGTTAAATTAAAAAACTGACAAAACTTGAGGAGATTGGGACGATAGAGGACGCTGCAGCAGTAAGTAGGTGTTGACATGAAGGAACCAGCAGAGTAATAGAGACATCTGTAAGGGAAGGATCATTGCATATTACCACAGCAGAGATTCACACTTTTCAGTCACATCATTTAAATGTTTTAGGGGAATAATAAAGTATATTTATGGTGAAATGTGTACTAAGCCTTTGCTTTCTTCTGTAATGAAAACACACTCTTCACAAAACCTGCTTTTTCTATTTTTTTCTATTCAGACCGAAAACAATCGTCACTGGTTTGCTGGATGGTTTTGATGAAACCTACAGTATCGTCACCTATGAATGTTCCTCTGGTGAGCTGCTTTTCTCTTCCTGAATAAAGTAAAAGGCTCATAGACATGTTGATCAGCCACTGGGTGGTGCAGGTTCTGCTAAGATGCTTGTAAGAGGCCAGAGTTTAAACAGGTATAACATGACATTACAGTACACTTGTGATAATTTGCATTCTCAGATGTAGAATAAAAAGTATGATAAACACTTTAATGAATGCATAATGCTGGCAAACATTTACTTTATTTCACTGAGTTAAGTCATGTGTGTTTCTTTGTCTTCACAGAGTGACGACAGCAGCACCTCTGATACATCAGCCCTGACAGACACAGTGTGCAGCACTCCAAAGTCAATATGAAATCCAAACAATGTTTTTCTTGCATCTTTTTGCTTTGCTTTTTTATGCACGGGTTAACTGATGTTTATCTACATAATTTTCTCAGAGAGCAGACATTATGGTGAAATGGCTCAGTCCAGCTTTGAAACTCTGAATAGTTGAAGTGACAGAAACAGAAGTCAGGTCAGTAGATAACATGTTTCATGTGTCACAATGCTTTATGTGATATAAACATGTACCATAGATACAGTGTATTTTCTGTGCATTACCTTTGTAAACAACATGAATTCAAACTGATAATAAAGCGCTGATGCACTAAGATGAAGTGTTTATGGAAAATCATCAACATCAACATCATCCTGGGGGACAGCATGTCCATGCAGTTGGACAAATACATGAAATCCAGTTTTAATACCACTCAGGACAACGTGTAGATCCCAACATCTAAACTGGTCACAAGATGTTTCTTTTTTTTGTTTTTTTGAGCCAACACACTCTCTCCAAGATAGCTCCTTCATTAGAGTTTCACATGAAAGGCCTGTTTCACTCAGTTCCGAAAAGTATAAAACGGCTCCCTGTGGTTAATGTGAGATGAAACTGCCAACACTGAAACCACTAACCTATTAAACTCAATATTAAACTTGAAGTAAGCTCACTAACTCTACAGTGTGTACTTGTAGTTACTGACTATGACCCCTCAGTTACCATGGTGATGTCTCCCTCTTAAAGGAATAACACAGTGTTACTTAGTTTATCTTTCTTTGTTTAACAGGTCACAGTCTACAGCAACAGTGATGGTTTCCTCCTCTGTGACCAACATCACTCTGATCTGCTGCCTGAACTCTGATGGCGTTGGTTACATACGGCCTTTTAAAACCTCTCAGTGCTGTTGTAGTTTCCTCTGTGTGTGACTGCAGAGTTTGCCATTACAAACCCTGAACCGCCACTAAAGTTTATTAAGTCTTTTTACACCAACCACATAATCTTCTTTAAAGCGTGTAACATTTAAACACAGATGTATGGATCAGATAATGTGTCCTAAAGAACTCTAAAGAACTAAATCAATCAGGTCATGTGTTCTGTGTTAGCAAGTAATGTTAATTTTACAGCCAAAATGACCAATACGTTATTTTCAAATAAGTTTTTTCTTTTTACTGTATCTGGTTCTGATAAAACTGTTGTTTGTCTGTATTATGAAATTATTCTTGAATTACTATCTCTGATGCACCTGTGTGAAACTCTTTTGCAAAACTCTTCAATCAGCAACCAGTCCTCATCCATCTATAAAGATGCCACCTTTGTGTTGCTAATTGCAAGCATGAATCAAATACCGCTTTTTGTGCTAGTCATGGGCTGGCTTGGCTTGGCTTGGCTTGGCTTGGCTTGGTTTGGTTTGGTTTGGTTTTGGCAGGCAGCTCAGCACAGCAGGGTTTGCAACTCATTACAGCAGAGCTACCTTCTTTGAAGGTGTGTCTTGAACTGATGACACCTTTACCAACCCATATAAATACATATTCTATATTTTCAGTGAGTCACCAGTCACAATTAAAAATCAGAACAGTACGGGATCAGGAGAAGTCCTGCCAGTTTAGAAAAAGCAAAACAAACAAAAACAAAAGACAATTAGAAATCAAACGAAACTTAAGTTTTTATGAAGCAGTTAGTCAACACTGTGGTAAAGGTGAACTAAATACACAATGCCACACATACTGGGTCTCATAAAGCTATTTGTGTGTGTGTGTTTCTGTGGCCTGTGACTTCTGGCACGCGCTGTGGTTTTTCTGAGAGCAACGTCTGCTAAATGACACTTTAGTACATCATAGTGCTGTAGTCAGGCACAAGTCTATTCGTGAAAGGATTATTGGACATCAGCATCATTCAGCTTCATCATGGCTGGACACCTGCTGTTAGTCGCCCTCATGTGTAAGTTAAAACTCTTGTCTGTTTCTACCATTGTATTAGTGGCAGATTGATAATGATCTCAGCTTGTTATGTATTGGTATCAGCATGATTTATTAAACTTTTACATCAGGCTGAAAGAAATACAACATTAAAATCAATGGTTAACTATTTACTGTTACATCTTCTCTTACTATTACAACTTGTTTAACACATTTTCTTCTCCAATAGATTCATTTTCTGAGAAGAAAGCACAAGGTCAGCCCCTGCATTTAATATTATAGTTTTCATGGGCAGTTAGGATGTACAGCACCTTTTCTCTGTTTTCTGGTCTGTACATTTAATCACAGCCGCTCATTGAGAATTTTCTCAGTCTTAATGTGATATAACATGTGTGTATATTTAATTTTCAGCTCTTCTTCCACCTAAACTGACGGTGAATCCAGCGGTGATCACAGAGACAGAAACAGTCACACTGAACTGTCAGACTCCATCATCTGTTTCTGTGTCTCAGTGTTATTTTCATATTGAAAGAGGAAAACCAGGCAAAGTCTTCTCATGTCTGAAGACACTGACAGGGACTGAGCTGCTGGAGATGACACACCAGAGTTCACCTGCTGAGGTTAAAGTGACATGTTTTTATCTCTACGGTTCTTCATCTCCTGACAGTGACGTTTCCTCCATCATCATCAGAAGTGAGTGAACCCTGCTGCTATGGACTAATGTTATTATGTCTTGCTACATTATCAGCACAAACAGAAAAGTGCCTTTTGACATCAAGCCTTCAAAATACATGTTAGAAGATTTTCAGTGGGCATCCTCTACCATTATGAATTTATCATTAGAAAAAAATGGTTATTTAATCCAACACATATGCTTATATTTTCAGCATCTCTTCCACCTAAACTGACAGTGAATTCAGTGGTGATCAACGACACAGACTCAGTCACACTGAACTGTCAGCCTCCATCAACTGTTTCTGTGTCTCAGTGTCATTTCTACACTGTAAATGGAGGAACAGCCAAAGTCCTCTCATGTCTACAAACACTGACAGCTACTGAGCTGCTGAAGATGGCACATCAAAATTCACCTGCCAGGATTCAAGTGACGTGTTTGTACACTGTAAAGATTGGAGAGTTTAACTATCCATCTCCACACAGTGACAGGTCCTCCATCACCATACACAGTGAGTGACTGTTTCTCTCATCTACAGATATTATTATATCTGCATGTAGTATCAGCATGAGAAAAGTGCCCAGGTATATTTTGTTAGGTGTGAATTTGTTTTTAGGTGTTACAGACTAAATAAAGAAACTAAGATTGACAACCACCATTTTCCATTAAAATGCCACTCAGGGTGAAGTTGATACAGTTATGGCTCTTGTGATTTTTCATTTCTTTCTTTTTTTTTCAAACTTTTTTGCCTGTTCAAAATAAAAACTAAATCTAATAAAATGAAATTAGTGGGAAATAAAATTATGTTAGAATATTTGTATCTTGCAGGAAATTGACAAGTTCAGATCTGTCTTCTTTTATTGTAGATATTGTGGAAAAAGAGTCAAGTGTGACACAGATTGTGCCGACATCTCTGATGACCACAGGTAGGACAGTTTATACATTTAAATTAAATACATTAATATATACATGTAATTAAATACATTAAAAAGTTTTCTTACTGTGCAGATGTTAGACCACAGTGTTAAAATAAAATAAAGTTGCTTCAGCACATGACAGCAACGGGCTTTATACCTGTAGTACAAAGGAAGACACTCTGTGGTTTTGATGTTAAAGTGTTCCGTGCCTTCTCCTATGAATCTAGGATCTGGTGATGAAACAGCAAGCAGATTTAAGATTCTTATTATCACATAAAAGTACAAACATGCATTATTGTGGATGCTTCAAAAATGTTTGTGGCTGTGCACTTAGGTTGGAGTGTCAGCACGGCTGGCATTAAAGAAGTCTCTAACCCTGCAACCCCTCAGGAAACACTTTCATGTCAATTTCAATTCAATCAATCAATTTTATTTATAAAGCCCAATATCACAAATCACAGTTTGCCTCACAGGGCTTTACAGCATCCCTCTGTCCTTATGACCCTCACAGCGGATAAGGAAAAACTCCCCAAAAAACCCTTTAACGGGGAAAAAAATGTTAGAAACCTCAGGAAGAGCAACTGAGCAGGGATCCCTCTTCCAGGACTGACAGACGTGCAATAGATGTCATACAGAACAGATCAACATGATAAATTAACAGTAATCCGGATGACACAATGAGACAGGAAGAGAGACAGAGAGAGAGAGAGAGAGAGAGAGAGAGAGAGAGAGAGACAGACAGAGAGAGATGCAGGACAGACGGTAATGACAGTAGCTTACAACAACATTAATGCAAGTAATAATATTATAATTATAATTCTGGCTACTGTGGTACAATATGTTTAAAGTATATATTAATATCTGACAGTATACATATGTGACAATGATCATATGTGTATAATAACAGTAGAAGTATGAGTAATGATAACAGCAGCAGCAGGAGGCATCTGGCAGGACCACAGCAGCAGCACAACCACACACGTCACACTATTCAGGCACCGCTGTGATAGAAGTTAACCTGTGAGACAGTGGAGCACAAAGGCTCCGGAGAAGAAGCCGAGTTAGTGACATCCAGAATGGCCGAGTCAGCAAGATGTAATAATAGGACATGAGAGAAGGAGAGAAGGTGCCTGGTGTATTATAGGGGCCCTCTGGCAGACTAGGCCTAAGTCAGCCTAACTAGGGGCTGGTCCAAGGCAAGCCTGAGCCAGCCCTAACTATAAGCTTTATCAGTGTTTGTTATTCATTCATTCATTTTCTAACCGCTTCATCCTCTTGAGGGTTGAGGGGGGGGCTGGAGCCTATCCCAGCTGACATCGGGCAAGAGGCAGGGTACACCCTGGACAGGTCGCCAGACTATCGCAGGGCTGACACATAGAGACAAACAACCATTCATGCTCACATTCACACCTACGGACCAATTAACCTAATCCCCAATCTGCATGTCTTTGGACTGTGGGAGAAAGCCGGAGTGCCCGGAGAGAACCCACGCTGACACGGGGAGAACATGCAAACTCCGCACAGAAGGGCTCCCAAACCCGGGATAGAACCGTCAACCCTCTTGCTGTGAGGCGAGAGTGCTAACCACCAAACCACCGTGCTGCCCGTGTTTGTTTGTTATTGTGTTGTATAAAATTATTTAAATTCTTTACCACTTGAATTCAGTGATCTAATTATGTTTCTAACCTAATTTACCTAATAACTTTATATCAGTTACAAAGCAATACTGGGTTTGCCATATTATATGTGCACTGGTGGTGTTGTTTAAAAGCCTCCATGACTCTCTTCCTGCTTTTTTCTTAATGTCATGAGAAACATAGCGGATTCTTATTTGTGGCTTCTATTGTTTCAAAGNTGTTGTTTAAAAGCCTCCATGACTCTCTTCCTGCTTTTTTCTTAATGTCATGAGAAACATAGCGGATTCTTATTTGTGGCTTCTATTGTTTCAAAGCAGGAATGTGGAGGTTTGTAGCAGTTGTGACTGGTTGTGGAGTAACTGTGGGGGTCGTTGTGCTGGTTTCTGCAATGCTCTGCAAAAGAAGAACTGGTGAGAACTGTGTTGTTGTGTTCGTCTGAGAAAGTCAGAAACTGTTTTTTACATGGATGGTAGCACATAGTGTTCTCTAGCTTTCTTAAAAACAGTTTGTCTCTGTATTTATGCTCCATAAGTTGCATTTCACGGTCTTTGCATCTTAGGATTTACACCATTTGAGAGGGTTAAACATCTACTCAAAAGATATGAGCACCAAAAAAGCTACATCTTCAGTCAGAAACACTGGTCACGGAATTTTCAATTTAAGGCACATGCTTAATAGATTTAGTTTAGTTAAATCAACAATACCAACAGTTTGCAGGTGGGGAGGAATTTGGTGAAAGGAGTATTAACAGCAAACATCACTGGCATGAATTTACAGCAGGACATCAGTGAGAATTGTCAGGTTCTAATGGCTGTGCTGATACAGCCTGAGCCACTGATGGTGAAGCATGAAACAGATCACAGCATTTAGTTAAATGCAAGTGCAGCTTCAGTTCTCTGTCTTAACTAACACTATTCTTCCTCTGGGTTAAGATTGGCCACATAGTTGTTCTACACACAAATTCTGGCTTGGTTCTTGCAAGTCATTTGCAATTTCCTCATAATAGTTAGAGTACAGTGCCTGTGCCCACTTTGACATTTGTTCAGTTAAACAGTTGTACTAAATTAACAAGTGAGGAAACCATCAGCTTATGCAGACCTAAGACACAAGCCCTGCATCTCAAACTAAAATAAAAACCCAATGCTTGTGGGAAACCACCACTGCACTGTGACAAAAATAACCTCTTTCGCTAAGGTCTAACACTCTTCCACATGTGAGCAAAATGCTGTATGACAAGAGATGGAAGTGTTCTACACCCATCTCTCTACACCCTCCACCCTCATATGGGGACTTGACCCCCATAGGAGCAGCCAATGTGGATATGCTTGAAGACACATCACCTGTGATGTCCAAGCACTGATTGGCAACACGTGTCTGTAGAAGTTGATACCTGCATGGTTATCTGCATGGCACTTCCTTAAGAGGCTGATGGAGTCGTGGTAGCTTCCAGCTGCCGTGGCTTTGCCAGTCGGCTTGCACAGCTATTGTCACAAATGATATCTGACCTCGTCGGAGGAAATGGCAGGTGTGCTTCCCAGCTGGTCGCTATACCACCAGGCCGAAGTTTGTCTTATGCGTATTGCTGGCAGCACTCTCTAATGCACACAGCCGTAGTCCCTTTGTGGAATTTGACCCAGTCAGAGAACGCCGGTGGACGTGATTAAACCATGGGTAATTCCCCCTCAGCGTGCACACATGGGCAGTTGGAACCTGGTCTCCTGCATGACTGTTTTTTATCCAGCCAGCTTGATAGATTGTCAGTGGACAATCTATCAAGCCGCACTCTTTTCACTCTCTTCAGGATGGTGAAGCAGGGTTGAGTGGGCATTCATTGTTGTGCCCTGTCAGAGCCTTAACAGTGTACTTTCATCGGTCATGTGCCCAGAGGACAACAACCAACTCTTAGTATGTTACAAACTACACTGTCTTGGCAGTCAGTCACCAAGGCAAGGCTCTCCTCTTGGGCTGTGAATGCAGTCCAAAAGATGTACGTTGTATGAGAGGTGCAGGCCGGCCGGCTCCAGCAGGATTGTGCATTCTAGAGTCAATCTCATGAAAGATGGCTTGACATGCAGTGCCTCTGGGATCACGGCTCTTGTAAAAAGAAGAACAAGAATGCAGTGCTGTCCTGTGGCATAGGCACTGTAGGAGAATGCTAAGGGCAACGTCATCCATACGGGGTGCCACAATTGCGGAAAAAAAATAAATAAATAAAAATCAAAATTTTTATCTATCTTTTACTATTTTTTACTTCACTGTTACTACTAGTATTTTTAAATATACATAAGGCCACAACAACATAATTACACAACAAAGCCTACTAAATATTACAAAGGCCTTTATTTCTAGGTTCCTGCTGCCCCTCAAGCCCCCCCTTCCCAGCTCCTTACACTTTACCTGCTCTCTGGGAGAGATGGGGGAGTTATCCGATGTCACATGAACCTCAAAACTCGCTGTATCGTTATCATGCTCCTGGGGCACTTAATGTGCTACGGGCTGCCACTGCAAGTTAGCCTTTCAACCTGACAGACTAACTGAGTGGCCTCTCACCCATTTGCAGCTGTCCTTATTGCCTAACTGGGCCAGCTAAGCCTCGATGGCATATTGCGCCTAGGTCATGGATAGGTGCAGAGATAGTCTTGACATGATAGACAACAGAAGGTTACATGTGTAACTTAGTTTCTCTGAAAGGAGGGACAATCAGTGTGTGGCCACCACAGGTGATGTGTGTTAAGAGTATCCATATCAGCCTGTGGGGGTCTTAACAATAAAATGCTACACTTTGTGGGAAACAGTCATTTTGCTTTGTGTGTCTTTCTCAGTAGCAGGTTCTGGGGAAGTGAAAAGGCAGGAGCCTCAAAATGAGAATGTAAGCCTAACATGAAGGTCAACATAAAATATATTTGCTCTGTATATCAATAGATGCTAAAGTCAGTTTCTTTCTTTTCCCAGTTTGAAACATACCATTTGTACGCCACCATCGCTGAGGAGCCAGCAGCATCAGACCTGAAGGGGATAACGTACAGCACAGTGCAGAAACACTGACACTGTTTTACACTGTGTAGAGAAAGAGAGGAAATGTTACTGAAATGTAAAACTTGGGTTTGAAGTTGACTGGTATAATGTAGAGTAAAGGTACTATAATGTATTTGTCTCAGATCAACAAAACTTTTACCAAACATTTACAAGTTTTACTGCTGGATTAAAGTTTCAAGTTGAGGTTTACGATGTACAAAGCACAGCATGGGCTCCAAACAACATGTCAATTTTTCAGTATGAGATTGAAAATGTATTTAGTTTTGCTCTTATATTGTGTAACTAAAGTGGAATTTCACTCCTTATTGTAACTTCTGTTTTGTTTTCTAATGATTTTCTCATTAATGGTGATATTTTTTGTATCTGGATATTTTTTTCTGAGCCTTCTGTGACTATGTATTATGAATAAATGTACATGAATGTACAACTTACTGCTATGCTTATTTGTTAGCACACAGCCTTCCAGTAATACCATACTTACTATATATTTCATATTTTTACTAAGTCACCAGTTACAAAGTACGGGATGTAATACAAAAAAAGACAATTCAGTATTGCAGTGGGTCATTTTGCACAATTTTGCCAACAAAAATTGTAAATTTGTGGAAATTGATGGAAGCCAAGATGAATATAAAGTTGGTCTGTAGTGTCAGTGATGAAAAATAAGAGAGCTCTTGACAGAAACATGGTCGATAATGGCTCAGTGGGCCCTGTTGTATTTTTATTTGACAACAACAAGACTGTAAATGCACTGGGGGAGGTACAGATGAAAATAATTGGTTCGACATTTGTATGAGAAAAAAAAAATTAAGAGCTATCGATGAAAATCAACAAAGCCCCCTTGGCTCATTTGCATACACTGCTGAGATGGTCCCTAACTTCAGTTCCTCATTTTACCATCTTCTGTCAAGTTCAGCACAGCCACATTATGTCCGTTATTAAAGTAAAAAAAAATCTGAATTATTTCATGTCTCTCAAAAGTGCAATATCTGTGCATATCTGAATGATATATTTGTATATCTGTTTACACAACAAGTGTGTGCAGGTGTTTCAAAAATGTAAAATCCTGCATTAAATACCTACTGTAGCCTAAGTTTTCCATCTTAAGTCTAACTGAAGTTGTTTGGCTTTACTTTTGCACGAGTCAGCAGAAGTCCTGCCAGTTTAGAAAAAGCAACAAGTAAAACAAACAAAAGCAAAAGACAATTAGAAATCAAATGAAACTTAAGTTTCTATGAAGCAGTTAGTCAACACTGTGGTAAAGGTGAACTAAATACACAATGCCACACATACTGGGTCTCATAAAGCTATTTGTGTGTGTGTGTGTGTGTGTGTGTGTGTGTGTGTGTGTGTGTGTTTCTGTGGCCTGTGACCTCTGATGCTCGCTGTGGTTTTCTTGAGAGCAACGTCTGCTAAATGACACTTTAGTACATCATAGTGCTGTAGTCAGGCACAAGTCTAGTCTTGAAAGGATTATTGGACATCAGCATCATTCAGCTTCATCATGGCTGGACACCTGCTGTTAGTCGCCCTCATGTGTAAGTTAAAACTCTTGTCTGTTTCTACCATTGTATTAGTGGCAGATTGATAATGATCTCAGCTTGTTATGTATTGGTATCAGCATGATTTATTAAACTTTTACATCAGGCTGAAAGAAATACAATATTAAAATCAATGGTTAACTCTTTACTGTTACATCTTCTCTTACTATTACAACTTGACACATTAACACATTTTCTTCTCCAACAGATTCATTTTCTGAGAAGAAAGCACAAGGTCAGCCCCTGCATTTAATATTATAGTTTTCATGGGCAGTTAGGATGTACAGCACCTTTTCTCTGTTTTCTGGTCTGTACATTTAATCACAGTCGCTCATTGAGAATTTTCTCAGTATTAATGTGATATAACGTGTGTATATTTAATTTTCAGCTCTTCTTCTGCCTATACTGACAGTGAATCCAGCGGTGATCACAGAGACAGAAACAGTCACACTGAACTGTCAGACTCCATCATCTGTTTCTGTGTCTCAGTGTTATTTTCATATTGGAAGAGGAAAACCAGGCAAAGTCTTCTCATGTCTGAAGACACTGACAGGGACTGAGCTGCTGGAGATGACACACCAGAGTTCACCTGCTGAGGTTAAAGTGACATGTTTTTATCTCCACCGTTCTTCATCTCCTGACAGTGATGTTTCCTCCATCATCATCAGAAGTGAGTGAACTCTGCTGCTGTGGACTAATGTTATTATGTCTTGCTACAGTATCAGCACAAACAGAAAAGTGCCTTTTGATATCAAGCCTTCAAAATACATGTTAGAAGATTTTCAGTGGGCATCCTTCACCATTATGAATTTATCATTAGAAAAAATAGTTACTTTATCCAATTGTTGTATTTTCCAGCATCTCTTCCTCCTAAACTGACAGTGAATTCAGTGGTGATCAACGACACAGACTCAGTCACACTGAACTGTCAGCCTCCATCAACTGTTTCTGTGTCTCAGTGTCATTTCTACACTGTAAATGGAGGAACAGCCAAAGTCCTCTCATGTCTACAAACACTGACAGCTACTGAGCTGCTGGAGATGGCACATCAGAGTTTACCTGCCAAGATTCAAGTGACGTGTTTTTACACTGTAAAGATTGGAGAGTTAAACTATCCGTCTCCATACAGTGACAGGTCCTCCATCACCATACACAGTGAGTGACTGCTTATTCCATCTACAGATATTATCATATTTTAATTCAGCAAAAAAGTGGCATGGTGAAGTGTTTTAGGTGTGAATTTGTTTTTAGGTGTTACAGATTAAATCAACGAGTGAAACACTGATTGACAACCTCATTTCCCATTAAAACACCACCTGGGGGTGAAGCCAGTACAGATATGCTTTTTGTTAGTTTATTTACAACATTTGTATCGTGAGCAATGATATATGTGATTTCACACTGTTACTTTAATGTATATCATATTACAAACTCACATTAAATGACACACAGAATTATTGTTTTGGTTAATTGTTACACATGATGTCAGCACTGTTTGAAATTACAAACCCATTTTTAAGAGCACTTGATAACAGAATAGCACAGGTAGGACAGTTTATACTTAAAAAAAGAATCCATATAATTATCACACATCACTCACTTTATTTGTTATTTTGAAAGTTTTCAAAGTGTTAACTTAAATTTATATAACTTACAAATATTAGTTAGTTATTAGTTATTAACCAAATCTGTTATTTTAAAAGTTTCAAAAGTTGTTTTATTCACCAGTCTTCACATTTACTCTTCTGTAACTCCTGTAAAATTAGAATTTCCAATTTCATGTGACTTCATCTAATTGCAAATCATGTGTTTTTCTGAGTATCATGATTATTTTGAAATGCAATTTTGTTTATTCAGCAGGTCAGACTGTTGGTACACCAAGTGACACTGGTGGTTCTTTCTCTACTTTAATGACATCAGTGCCACCAGAAACAGCTGATATAATTACTCATGTTCTCAGTAATTTACAAAAACTAGTCAAAAAAAATGTTGAGATATTTGTCATTTTAATGTTCATGTTCTGTGTGTCCTATTACAGGTCTAACCCTCCCTGCTGCAGGTACTCTGACCCCTGCTGACACAACTCTCATGAAACCAGCTTCTGGTGATGAAACAGGTAAACCAGAAACAGGAAGGGTGTTTATATGCACCCACAGACTGATGAGCTGTTTGAGGTATACTGCAGGGAGAGAGGTACTGTAGGGACCTCTGGTGGATCAACATGAGAACACAGGATCAACACCAGCAAGCACTGAAAAGTCATCTGTGACAGACCTGAAAGTATATTAACAACAATAAAAATCAATAGGCCTGCTTAATTTTTTTGATATTAATACTGATTTGATGTTTACAGAAATAATTAAGTGAACTTCTTGTGACACAAGAGCACCACTGTAGCACCACCCTCAGAATAAGCTTCATGATTGACAGTGGTAAATCCCAGAGTTTGAAAATTACTGTTTCTCAGGTTCACCAGCAGGACTCAAGGTGTTTAGCCTTGCTGTAACTATATGTGCTGTTCACCAGCGTGGTGGTTGCATGACCTTTATGTTAACACTGTAGGCAGGCATGTGTTAATGTCCTTTTTTTTTACTGCAGCGTCACTGATATTGGTGATTGGAGCAGTTGTGACTGTGGGGGTTCTCTTGCCTGGATTGGCTCTTCTCTTTACTCAAAGCAGGACTGGTAAGAATTGAGCTCACCAGAGTTACTGAGATTTCAGTCTAAATTCTGAAGCTATAATAGCTGCAAATATTTAATGTGGTTTCATATTTCTTTTCTTGTCCTTTCTTTTCTAGAAAAAAGTGTTTCCAAGAGGTGAGAAATCTTGGTTTCTAAACTATTAATAAGTAAACTAGAGTGAGAACCAGTACGCATCTTCTGTTCCATCAATGCACCAGTTTACAGTAATAGTTTCAGACATTTATTTTGCCAGCTGCTGAGGACAACCACAATCCTCTTTTGACTGTGTCTGAGCTGCTCCACTGGTACAGTTGCGGATCAAGTGCCTTGCTCAGGGGCATATAGACATTTGACAACAAGGTTCTTTGAGGGACCATTAAAAAAATCAAAGCAGCAGTGATAATTCTGCTCAGAGAACTAAAACCCTTAAGCACATTGAAAACATAAATGATATAGCATACATATTTGGATATCACACTGGATCCTTGTTAAATTAAAAAACTGACAAAACTTGAGGAGATTGGGACGATAGAGGACGCTGCAGCAGTAAGTAGGTGTTGACATGAAGGAACCAGCAGAGTAATAGAGACATCTGTAAGGGAAGGATCATTGCATATTACCACAGCAGAGATTCATACTTTTCAGTCACATCATTTAAATGTTTTAGGGGAATAATAAAGTATATTTATGGTGAAATGTGTACTAAGCCTTTGCTTTCTTCTGTAATGAAAACACACTCTTCACAAAACCTGCTTTTTCTATTTTATTTTTTTCTATTCAGACCGAAAACAATCGTCACTGGTTTGCTGGATGGTTTTGATGAAACCTACAGTATCGTCACCTATGAATGTTCCTCTGGTGAGCTGCTTTTCTCTTCCTGAATAAAGTAAAAGGCTCATAGACATGTTGATCAGCCACTGGGTGGTGCAGGTTCTGCTAAGATGCTTGTAAGAGGCCAGAGTTTAAACAGGTATAACATGACATTACAGTACACTTGTGATAATTTGCATTCTCAGATGTAGAATAAAAAGTATGATAAACACTTTAATGAATGCATAATGCTGGCAAACATTTACTTTATTTCACTGAGTTAAGTCATGTGTGTTTCTTTGTCTTCACAGAGTGACGACAGCAGCACCTCTGATACATCAGCCCTGACAGACACAGTGTGCAGCACTCCAAAGTCAATATGAAATCCAAACAATGTTTTTCTTGCATCTTTTTGCTTTGCTTTTTTATGCACGGGTTAACTGATGTTTATCTACATAACTTTCTCAGAGAGCAGACATTATGGTGAAATGGCTCAGTCCAACTTTGAAACTTTGAATAGTTGAAGTGACAGAAACAGAAGTCAGGTCAGTAGATAACATGTTTCATGTGTCACAATGCTTTATGTGATATAAACATGTACCATAGATACAGTGTATTTTCTGTGCATTACCTTTGTAAACAACATGAATTCAAACTGATAATAAAGCGCTGATGCACTAAGATGAAGTGTTTATGGAAAATCATCAACATCAACATCATCCTGGGGGACAGCATGTCCATGCAGTTGGACAAATACATGAAATCCAGTTTTAATACCACTCAGGACAACGTGTAGATCCCAACATCTAAACTGGTCACAAGATGTTTCTTTTTTTTGTTTTTTTGAGCCAACACACTCTCTCCAAGATAGCTCCTTCATTAGAGTTTCACATGAAAGGCCTGTTTCACTCAGTTCCGAAAAGTATAAAACGGCTCCCTGTGGTTAATGTGAGATGAAACTGCCAACACTGAAACCACTAACCTATTAAACTCAATATTAAACTTGAAGTAAGCTCACTAACTCTACAGTGTGTACTTGTAGTTACTGACTATGACCCCTCAGTTACCATGGTGATGTCTCCCTCTTAAAGGAATAACACAGTGTTACTTAGTTTATCTTTCTTTGTTTAACAGGTCACAGTCTACAGCAACAGTGATGGTTTCCTCCTCTGTGACCAACATCACTCTGATCTGCTGCCTGAACTCTGATGGCGTTGGTTACATACGGCCTTTTAAAACCTCTCAGTGCTGTTGTAGTTTCCTCTGTGTGTGACTGCAGAGTTTGCCATTACAAACCCTGAACCGCCACTAAAGTTTATTAAGTCTTTTTACACCAACCACATAATCTTCTTTAAAGCGTGTAACATTTAAACACAGATGTATGGATCAGATAATGTGTCCTAAAGAACTCTAAAGAACTAAATCAATCAGGTCATGTGTTCTGTGTTAGCAAGTAATGTTAATTTTACAGCCAAAATGACCAATACGTTATTTTCAAATAAGTTTTTTCTTTTTACTGTATCTGGTTCTGATAAAACTGTTGTTTGTCTGTATTATGAAATTATTCTTGAATTACTATCTCTGATGCACCTGTGTGAAACTCTTTTGCAAAACTCTTCAATCAGCAACCAGTCCTCATCCATCTATAAAGATGCCACCTTTGTGTTGCTAATTGCAAGCATGAATCAAATACCGCTTTTTGTGCTAGTCATGGGCTGGCTTGGCTTGGCTTGGCTTGGCTTGGCTTGGTTTGGTTTGGTTTGGTTTTGGCAGGCAGCTCAGCACAGCAGGGTTTGCAACTCATTACAGCAGAGCTACCTTCTTTGAAGGTGTGTCTTGAACTGATGACACCTTTACCAACCCATATAAATACATATTCTATATTTTCAGTGAGTCACCAGTCACAATTAAAAATCAGAACAGTACGGGATCAGGAGAAGTCCTGCCAGTTTAGAAAAAGCAAAACAAACAAAAACAAAAGACAATTAGAAATCAAACGAAACTTAAGTTTTTATGAAGCAGTTAGTCAACACTGTGGTAAAGGTGAACTAAATACACAATGCCACACATACTGGGTCTCATAAAGCTATTTGTGTGTGTGTGTTTCTGTGGCCTGTGACTTCTGGCACGCGCTGTGGTTTTTCTGAGAGCAACGTCTGCTAAATGACACTTTAGTACATCATAGTGCTGTAGTCAGGCACAAGTCTATTCGTGAAAGGATTATTGGACATCAGCATCATTCAGCTTCATCATGGCTGGACACCTGCTGTTAGTCGCCCTCATGTGTAAGTTAAAACTCTTGTCTGTTTCTACCATTGTATTAGTGGCAGATTGATAATGATCTCAGCTTGTTATGTATTGGTATCAGCATGATTTATTAAACTTTTACATCAGGCTGAAAGAAATACAACATTAAAATCAATGGTTAACTATTTACTGTTACATCTTCTCTTACTATTACAACTTGTTTAACACATTTTCTTCTCCAATAGATTCATTTTCTGAGAAGAAAGCACAAGGTCAGCCCCTGCATTTAATATTATAGTTTTCATGGGCAGTTAGGATGTACAGCACCTTTTCTCTGTTTTCTGGTCTGTACATTTAATCACAGCCGCTCATTGAGAATTTTCTCAGTCTTAATGTGATATAACATGTGTGTATATTTAATTTTCAGCTCTTCTTCCACCTAAACTGACGGTGAATCCAGCGGTGATCACAGAGACAGAAACAGTCACACTGAACTGTCAGACTCCATCATCTGTTTCTGTGTCTCAGTGTTATTTTCATATTGAAAGAGGAAAACCAGGCAAAGTCTTCTCATGTCTGAAGACACTGACAGGGACTGAGCTGCTGGAGATGACACACCAGAGTTCACCTGCTGAGGTTAAAGTGACATGTTTTTATCTCTACGGTTCTTCATCTCCTGACAGTGACGTTTCCTCCATCATCATCAGAAGTGAGTGAACCCTGCTGCTATGGACTAATGTTATTATGTCTTGCTACAGTATCAGCACAAACAGAAAAGTGCCTTTTGACATCAAGCCTTCAAAATACATGTTAGAAGATTTTCAGTGGGCATCCTCTACCATTATGAATTTATCATTAGAAAAAAATGGTTATTTAATCCAACACATATGCTTATATTTTCAGCATCTCTTCCACCTAAACTGACAGTGAATTCAGTGGTGATCAACGACACAGACTCAGTCACACTGAACTGTCAGCCTCCATCAACTGTTTCTGTGTCTCAGTGTCATTTCTACACTGTAAATGGAGGAACAGCCAAAGTCCTCTCATGTCTACAAACACTGACAGCTACTGAGCTGCTGGAGATGGCACATCAGAGTTTACCTGCCAAGATTCAAGTGACGTGTTTTTACACTGTAAAGATTGGAGAGTTAAACTATCCGTCTCCATACAGTGACAGGTCCTCCATCACCATACACAGTGAGTGACTGCTTATTCCATCTACAGATATTATCATATTTTAATTCAGCAAAAAAGTGGCATGGTGAAGTGTTTTAGGTGTGAATTTGTTTTTAGGTGTTACAGATTAAATCAACGAGTGAAACACTGATTGACAACCTCATTTCCCATTAAAACACCACCTGGGGGTGAAGCCAGTACAGATATGCTTTTTGTTAGTTTATTTACAACATTTGTATCGTGAGCAATGATATATGTGATTTCACACTGTTACTTTAATGTATATCATATTACAAACTCACATTAAATGACACACAGAATTATTGTTTTGGTTAATTGTTACACATGATGTCAGCACTGTTTGAAATTACAAACCCATTTTTAAGAGCACTTGATAACAGAATAGCACAGGTAGGACAGTTTATACTTAAAAAAAGAATCCATATAATTATCACACATCACTCACTTTATTTGTTATTTTGAAAGTTTTCAAAGTGTTAACTTAAATTTATATAACTTACAAATATTAGTTAGTTATTAGTTATTAACCAAATCTGTTATTTTAAAAGTTTCAAAAGTTGTTTTATTCACCAGTCTTCACATTTACTCTTCTGTAACTCCTGTAAAATTAGAATTTCCAATTTCATGTGACTTCATCTAATTGCAAATCATGTGTTTTTCTGAGTATCATGATTATTTTGAAATGCAATTTTGTTTATTCAGCAGGTCAGACTGTTGGTACACCAAGTGACACTGGTGGTTCTTTCTCTACTTTAATGACATCAGTGCCACCAGAAACAGCTGATATAATTACTCATGTTCTCAGTAATTTACAAAAACTAGTCAAAAAAAATGTTGAGATATTTGTCATTTTAATGTTCATGTTCTGTGTGTCCTATTACAGGTCTAACCCTCCCTGCTGCAGGTACTCTGACCCCTGCTGACACAACTCTCATGAAACCAGCTTCTGGTGATGAAACAGGTAAACCAGAAACAGGAAGGGTGTTTATATGCACCCACAGACTGATGAGCT